CCAAAGAGAACAAAACAATAGTTTTGCAGACTACCAGACCTAATAAAGCTTCATTATTCCAATTAACTTTCTAATGAGGATGGAAGGGGTCATCCAGACATCTGACAGAATGCTATTCTACAGAAAGGGAGCATGATTGAGAAGAGTCAGTTTGTAGTTCTTGGATATGATATCCATTCAATGAAGAAATGTGGAGGGAGCCCACACTACTAGTTCCAGTTGAATGGGTAAATGCGATCCTGCAGATATCCAGGTCTTGAGCCAAATAAGATACTCTTTAAAGTTATCAATGAGCATCCTGAATTGCACCCAGCTGGCAAGTAATGCAGGTCTTGAAGCATTGGGCTGCTATGCGTGAATTGGGGAGCCCTCACGATTACTCAAACCACTGCATTCTAGACCAGTTATAATTTCCATGTGATTGTCAGGATATCTCCTTTTAGGAGATCCTTGCAGTAGTCCAATCAAGTGGTGACTTAGGTTTGAGTGACCCATTTCAGAGTGGGTCATACTCAAAGTATCAGATAGAACTATCAATCCAGAATGATTCCAAATTGCATCCCAGGAAACATAACTCTAACCAGAACCAAAAATGATATTTTTCTGGAATCAGATGGTTTCTAACTTAAAGCCACCCTGATTTGCTGGGATGAAGCTGAATCTTGTTGCTCACCATCCAAAACCTAATGGCCTCCAGATACCTGGACAGCATCTCGGTGGCATCACTTAGGAGTAATTAATTGGGACAGCATCAAGCTTTGTGTGATTCCACAATTGAGGCACCTGGGATTGACCTCTCCCCTCACCATTTATTCTCCTTTAAGAAAAAAAAACCACTACAGAACAATACCCCCCCCCCCTTTGCCCAATCAGTGGAGGTGGTTCATAGTCAATTGAAAGCCACTGAACCACTGAGATATCGATCAACTCCAGGAGTGTCACATTCTCTATCTCAGTCTTGTCATAGGATGCCCATAAGTGAAATATTATTATCTCCATATCATACACATGAAATGAATATAAGTCTAGGTAAACTATTTCCTTTCTGCAGCTGGAGCAGCCCTATTACTTTCTCAACAAGTTTCCCAAGAAAGTGAAGGGTAGATATTAATGTATAATTATCCAGAATTTCTGAGCAATAGCTAATTGAAAAAAGAGGGCACATTTTGTTATTTCAGGATGGGTGGCAACCTCTACTCTCACTAAGATGAATTTCCACCAGTTTGACCCAAGCCTTGATCTCTTCCTTGGAGGCTGTTATGATTTTTTTTTTAAACCATTCACCTTCTCTGCCCTCCCTAAATTGCTTTTAATCACTTGGTGGTTTCCTTTTCACAGCCAAAAATTGCTAGAGTTGCAAAGAAAAACAATCCTTTTTAACGACGGCTGCCAAAAAGAAAAAGGTACATAGATTGAATGGCTAAACATAGAAATGACTAAACAGGAAACTGCATTTGAAAAAAAAAATTAGAGCTTGTATAAGCATTATGAATTTTAATTTTGCAAGCAACATAACTCAGATCATTGTCATGGCTACGTTAGATGAAGATACTGGTTTGGGACTTAGAGTTATTTGTTTATGTTCTGTAAAATGCTTTTTTTGTCGTTTTTAGTAATTTTAATTTTATTTTGCTACTCTTTCATTAACAATATTATTCAAAGGACAAAGGACCAGGAAGATCAGAAATGATTTAAATTGTTCAAAGTTAGCTTAGCAAGAAGAAGCTAAGATCAATGTAGAGATGTTATTAATTT